GGTTTCCTAGGCTTTGACCTTTCAGACCTTTGAGGCTCCTCTGGGTGGGCTCAAATACAATCTTTCAGGTAGCAAACAAGTGCTTAACCATTTGCACCATCCACTTCGTACCTTGGCACATGCAACTGTTCCTTTTTCCTATATTACCTATTTTGGTAAATAGTGCGTCTACTTATATAAATTTCAAGCAGGGTATTCCCAGCTTCCTCCCCTTTCCTCATTCTGTACATTCATGAGAAAATAAAATGAAAAGATAATAACGAATTTTCCCACAAACATTTGAAGATCCTCTCAAAAAGTTTGTCTGTTACAAAAGCAAATTGATATGCAATGTTTCATCTCTCCTTTCCCAACACTGGCACTGCCTTAGTTCATAGCCTCATCTTTTATTTCCTAGTATTACAATTGTTGTTAAATATCATGGAGTCGGATCTGACTCACAGCGACCCGTTTCTGAGAAGTGGTTGGTGAGTTTGTGATTCTCCTACAGCGCCACACCAGGACTCCAGGTACTACAATGATGTTGGTGGTGGTTGTGTGCTGTAGAGTTGATTCCAACTCATAGCGACCCTGCAGAGGGTTTCTAAGGCTATAAATCTTTACGGGAGCAGAAAGCCTCACCTTTTTCTTGCAGAGTACTATTAATAGCTCTGGTAGCGTAGTGGTTACGAATCGGGCTGCGAACCTTAAGGTTAGCAGTTCGAAACTACCAGCCGCTCCGCAGGAGAAATATGAGGCTTTTTGCTCCTGTAAAGATTTACAGCCTCAGAAACTCTGTACAGGGTCGCTATGGGTCTGGCACTCAACAACAACAACTATTAATAGCTGGTAGCGTAATGGTTACAAATTGGGCTGCTAATCTCAAGGTCAGCAGTCTGAAACTACCAGCTATTCTGCAGGAGAAAAGATGAGGCTTTCTGCTCCCGTAAAGATTTACAGCCTCGGAAACCCTGTACAGGGTCGCTATGAGTCGTAATCAACTCGACAGCACTTAACAACAATTTTTCCCTCACTGTTTACTGGTGGCACTGTGGACTAGGTGTTGGACTGCTAGCTGCAAAAAAGATGTCTGCTTCCATACAGATATATAGTCCTGGAAACCCTATAGAGAGTACCTAGGAATTGGAATTGATCCAATGGTCGTGGTTTAGTTTTTTCATTGAGTTCCAAATTCACCTTCTATACTGCCACCTTTGTTGTTGTTAAGTGACGTCGAGTCGGTTCCGAGGCTATAAATCTTCACGGGAGCAGAAAGCCTCTTCTTTCTCCTGAGGAGCAGCTGGTAGTTTTGAACTGCTGACCTTGCGGTTTGCAGCCTGATTCGTAACCACTACGCTACCAGAGCTCCTTATACTGTCACTAGACTCTCCTAAAATGCAAACTGGAGTATGTCATTCTCCTTGTTAAAAGTTCTTTGGTGTCTCTTTGTTTCCTGCAGGATATAAAAATGGCATAAAGGTTTATCATGATTTGGCTTCTTTCTATCCCATCATCTCACAGTTTTCACACTTTAGTATTACACATCCTGAACTACCTATATTATTGGAATGTGTGTTACTTTTTTCTGACACGTGCTTTTGAACATAGTAGGTCTTCTATCTCGAATGCAACATAAGACATTTGAAATTTCCTCTATTAGAGATCAATTCAAAAAGAGGAGCCAAAATAATACAACTGACACTGTGGAATTTTAATAACATTCCCAGAAAAAATGCTTCAAGCAGTATATAGATTCTCTCCCAAAGAGGAACCAAAAATGATATAGGCAGTTAAGTGTATATACCTCTACTAATGGAAAAAAAAGGCAACAATTACAAAGGAAATAATTATAGATTTATGTACACTGATATTAATGTACACTTACACGTGAACCAATGTGAAAACAAAAGTGTTTGCAAAGTACCTTAACTTTTTTAGCTATTGATAGAAAGTGATTCTCTGAGTCAGTAACATTACTGAGGCCCCAATTTATAAAGCAAACATAAATGACAAGCAAAAAAATTTTAACATTTCACAACGAGTGAACTAATTGTGCCTTGCGGGGGAAAAAAAAAAACCCATAAAAATAAAACACTTAAGAAAGCCATGCAAGGGAATTTTTAGTTTGAGAAACAAATACCTGTATCATTTGCCCACCTGACTATACTGGGGAAGGAAAATATACACATAGATACAGCATGTGAATATTAACAAAGACTCTCAAGGCAAAGACTGGCTTAGAGAATTATAGTAGGTTTTGAAGTTTATGAAATACAATGATAAAATCGTGCTTGAAGTTTATATAATCAACACACATGCCCTTACACATGAAACCCACCACTAACTACACTCTTATATTAATGCACTCCTGACCATCAAAATCTCTAAGGTCTTGGGTTTTTATTATCATCAGGAAGTAAGGGTAACTTTGTAGAAAGTACTGCATCTGCAGTTATTGTTCAAACTTCACTGACTTCTGCTGTGATTGCTGGCCAACCTTTTACCGTTTCCTGCAATATTTGGTTACAGACTTTTATCAGACTTTTAAAACAGGCGAGACATGTTAACATAGGAAAAGAAAGTTATTTCCTTAATGTAAGTGTTTCCTTCTGATATTATACTATTTGATGAAAACAAAATAATTTAATGTTCAATTATATTCAAGGTCTGCAACGTAGAAAATAATCTCCACAAAAATGGTATGGATGATAGATTGAAAATAAATTTTAAAAGCTCTTTTTTGTGGCTATTTTTTATTATGAAGCGATATTCCTAAAATTTGAAATCACAGTCTTTGATTACAACCTCAATATCCCCTTGTTCATCATCGTCTTTGACCCTTCTCCCCAAATTCTTCAGCCATATTCTGACACTATCAATCTTTGCTCCTAGGCTGCTGTATGTTGTTAACAAATCACCAAGAATAATGCCACACACCATTAAATATGAGTAGAGTCCCTGGGTGACACAAACAATTAACGATTTGATCACTAGTCAGAAAGCTGACAGTTCAAGCACATAAGGGTGCCTTGGGAGACAGGCCTGACAGTTTACTTCTGAAAAACTCATGCAGCACATCGACTCAATGGCAACTAACAACAATCATTGTTACAAATTTATTGTTTCAAATTGAACTTTCCTAGCAAGCTGTTTATAGATCTTTCTAGTTAAATGTGACCTTTGGTGGGAATCATTAGTTCACATCTCAGTTCAGCTTCCAGGCACCTATAAAGCTGCATTTTTCTGCTCTCTTTGAGATTAGACTAGGCTATAAGCCTTGTCTTGGCCAATGAGGTATGAGTGGAAGCACATTCAGTGTTTCTGGGATGAAGTAACAAGTACTTCCATGTGACTCTCCATGTTATCCACCTCTGCCCCTCTGTACTGAAACAATTAGAAAGGCATTTGTGGAAATGGAGTCCCATTAGCAGGGGATTCTGCATGATTACTAGGAAGAAATTCCACGTTGGTCTTTACTGGACAGGTAGCGTGAGCAAGAAGCACACCTGCGCTTCACTGAGATTTTTTTTACATTGTTTCAAACACATAACTTATAACCTGGCCTATCCTGATTCTTTATTTCCTCTTTCTCCATTCCCTGCAGTAGCTAGTCCATCCTTTCAAACATCTTCCAAGCATGAACTCTCCCAACTTCTCTCCTCATTACTCATACACTTGTCATTAAGTAACAGGATCATTCTAATATTCTTTATTCATATCTTAGAGAAAGGCTGTTCTAGTTTTCTGTCT